TTATCTTCTCATTTTTTATTTTTTTATCTATTAAATGTATATAACGTTAATATTATAAGTAAAAATAATGAAAGATTTAATATTGAATTTAGTAAAAGTCAAACAAATAGACCCTATCTAATATAAACTTAGGCATACAAAACACTCAAACGATTACATTCATCAATGCATAAAATTTTGTAATAAATAATATTAATTTTTTATATATATAATATTTATACAATATATTAAATATACTTTATTTTATTAAATTATTTATTATGAAAATTTATTATTAGATTATACTATAATATAATTATTTGTACTTATAAAATTAATAGAATTTATATAAATATTGAAAAGTTATATTATAATTTCATTTAAATTTAAAACCTTTTTAAACAAATTACCATAACCATTTATAATATTAATAATTATTCTTATTATTTTAAAGGCAATGGCATACTATAATAATTTTAATTATTATAGGCTTATATTTATATATTTTATTATATTTTATTTTATTTTTCTCAAATTAAAATCAGAATAATTCTAATCAATTTATATTTTAGTTATTAATTTTATAATATAATTAATTTAAATCAGATATATCTAATAAATCAAGATTTTTTATAATAGATTGATAGAATGATATATATATACGAGAAAAATTTTAATTAATAATATTATTTTTAATTTAAAAACAAATTTAATATGATGTAATGTATTTAACAATATTGATTTGATATTCTTCATTAATATGTATTTTTATATCATATTTGATATATTTTATATTTCCTAATATTATATTTATTCTATGATAGATCAAAAAAATATAATATTAAATATATTTAACATTATTTTACGAATACAATTTATGAATTTTAAAGTAATTAAAATTAATTAAATATTTTAAAAATCTTCATATTCATATCCTATTTCTGTTACTCTTTATACAGATACAACTTCCAACACTCCGGCTCTTAGAAAACATTACGTTTTCTAGTGAAAACATCGATTGAAAAGAAGCTCCGGCTGTTGTATATAATATTTTCAAAGAAAATGCAGTGGTGGGTTGAGTTTTCTTTTGAAAACGCATAGATACTTTACGTTTACAAGGAAAACACATATATGCTTCGCATTTTCAATGTAAAATGTGGCATTGCTTTGCATTTTCTTCAAAAATGTGATCCCTATTCACTTGGATGATCTTTTTTAAATTTTTTTATTATTAAGATCATTTTTCTAATACATTTTAATATCATGATCCTTTTGAAAATTTGGCCATAAAAATATTAAAAAATTATTTTGCATGAATTTTCAAAAACTTAATACCGAGAACGGCACAAATACAAATAAATGACGAGCCAAAATAAAAAAGAATTCCTACTAAAATCTTACATGATATGTCAAAAAGCGTGCAAAGCATTGTACCAAAAAGTACACTAAAGCATCAAAATGTAAAACCACTTCCATATTCCAATAAAAATGCCATTATCAATGAAGCTCTGAGGATTTAAATTAGTGCAACTCCAAATTGTTTACACACTCTTCAAGCAGGGTTGGACCAAATTGTTGTACACACTCTCCAAGCAAGGCGGACTCAATTCACTTTGCTCTGAAAAGCATATGAGTCACTCCAAATGGTATTAAACTTGTTCTCAGAAACAGAATCCCATCCCATGGCATCACATACAACTGTGCTCAAGTGGATCGAGAGGTCATGGAATGTTTTAATATTTCAAGACATTTTTCAAAATAAAAATTATAATAATAATAAAAACAATAAATGAGAAAATTAAATTTTAAAATCATTAAAAATATGAAAAAGCAATAAAAATAAGAGAAATTAAAGAAAATATGTTGAGCATTATTGAATCTTTTTGTGCCCATTTTTTTCATGTCACATGGCTCTTATTTTTTAGCTAAACATAACCATCTTAATTAAAATAATTAATCATGATAACATATAAACAATAAATTTAATAACATAATTGAGAAACTTAAGCTCAAATAAATTTTATAATAATATTAATAATCATTACAAGTTGAAACATATCTTTAGAATATGATAACTAATTATTATAATTTATATAAATAATAAATACCAGTAAATTGGATAAATAGAAAATAAATATAAATAAATTCCATATATATATTATTTAAATTAATTTTAGTTATGTTTTCACCATCCTTGAGATCTATGGTAAAACATAATTAATTTATAATGGAATCTAATATATTGTGAACTAAGTTAATGAATGACCTTGGAAACTATGAATCCTCACTTGAGTCTACAAGTCGCACATGAAGCCAAGATTGCCAATGATCATTTGATCGAGTTAGGCTGACTACCTCTCTCATCTAACTAAACGAAAGTTCATGACATTCTAGTAATACGGAACTATAGTATCTTAATTGGCTTTGTTTTGTTATCATTCTCCTATCATCTACTCTAAGCCAACTATGATATATCATTCTTTTATCTAATCCAAATTATTACTACCAAAGCAAAGCATCATGGAACCTATAGAATATTTATAATCTCTTAATCAAGAGGGGCAATTAACCATAGCATTTGCACCTTTGGAAAACTTCAAAATAAATCATAAAGTCATCGCAATATGGCCAAATCTTTGGGTAATGTGTTCTCTAATATGCAATGTCTTCTCAAAAATAAACCTTAGATTATTTGAATATTTAATTAAGGACGATAGATTTTGCTAGGGAATGTTTCTCTTTCATTGGCTAGTTTTTAAGGCTCTTCTAGATGTTTCATGCATCTAAGTGACATTGTAAAGAAAAGAAGGCCAAATAAAATTGATACTAGGTAATAGATAAATGTCAATATATATAAATTATTCTAGAAAGAAGAAGGAAACTAGCCTACATAAAAAATTGATAGAATATATATATATATATATATATATATATATATCATTACACCTCTGGGCCAAAAATTACATTTAGACATGACAAGTTTCATAATGTACTATATAAAACAAGATTTGACTTCCTGAATTCCCTATTAAAGAATTCCATTCAAGTCTAAGCATCAAGGGCCTACCAAAATGGGTTTGTTGAGTCCTTCAATGGCACGGATACAATCTTGGGAACTCATAGGCTTCCTTTTTGAGGCAATCAAGACTTCTGATGACCCCCCCTCCCCCCTACCACATTTCATCCACTCCCAATTTGAAAATATTTCCATTAAAATTGCACTACTAAGTCGTCTCTTGATAAAGGCATCTACAAATTGACTTTCCAAGCACATAAGGCCTATAAATAAAACCTTCTAGCTTAACTTTGATGAAATGTTTGTCAATATTGATATAAGTTCATTTTGTCATGTTGTATTAGATTATGTGTGATGTTTTATGCTAACTTATGGTCACAATGCAACTTAAGCCTTCCCATTTAATTCTTACATCATCCACAATAATTCACAAATTCCTTATGCTATGGCCTAGAATGTTGATTCAATACTAGAAATAGCCGCCTTGACCTTATACTTCTCCTTGTTACAAAATTTCCACTTAAAATGTGCAGTAATCAAATTTTGATCCCCTATAAATATTTGAGCCTACATATCTACAGCTGTGTGAACTTCTAATGTGAATTCATTAATTCTTTTAAATAAAACTTCTCTTCCAAAATAACCATTCAAGTAGTGTAGCACATGATAGGCAGCTTACATATTTGTTTCTCTTAGATTGTTGGTGAATTGCCTAGTTAAACTTATTGAGTATGCAAAATACAGCCAAGCAAGGAAAGGATAAATGAGTTTTCCAACCAATCTTTGACACATCTCCCTATCAATTGATGCTTCTTCTTTTTGCTTCTCCTGGTTTAATCTGGTATTTCTTTTGTGAGATAAAAATGCCCTATCATGAGTATGAGAATTCAATTTCAAGAAAATATTTTCAATCTTCCTAGCTCTTTTATCTTAAATTCCTTGATCAAATTTTGTTTTTCCTCATCATCATTTTGGTAACAATGATATCATCAATATACGCTAAGGGGGTTGTAACTTCCCCGTATCCAAATGTTGGTTCAAGAGAGTATGATCTCCTTGATTTTGTTTGTATTATGTTCCTTTGAGCACTACTGCAAACCTTAAAGACCAAGCTATAAGTGATTGTTTTGGCTCATATGATGCTCTCTTTGGTTTACACAACTTGTTAGTTGATCCAGTTCTTTCAAATCCTAGAGGAATGCTCAAGTAAATTTCTTCTCCTAAGTATCCAAACAAGAAAGCATTATTCATACGTTGCTGAAGTTGCTAATTAAAGTGAGCTGCCAAAGATAAGAAATTCTTGGTTTTTATTTTGCTACAGAGGCAAAAGCTTCCTGGTAATCAACTCCATTATGTTTGCGTATAAAATTTAGCAATTAGTTTTGCATTATATCTTTCAAAAGAGCCATCATTTTTGTCTTTCAAAGTAAAAATTAATTGCAACATACTACATTGTTTCCTCTAAGTTTACTTGCACTCTCCGATGTGTCGTATTTTTTTCCAATGCATTCATTTCTTTTCTAATGGTATTCCTTCATCCATGATTTGATAATGCTCAAATAAAGTGTTTGGAACATAGATAGTAATTAAACTCACAATAAATTTTCTATGGAGTGCAGAAAGGAGTTCAAGAGGCATATAATAGGATAATGAATACAAAGAATGTTTTTTTGTTGGTTATGCCATATTTTCTAACAATAATAAGAAGATCAAGGTCAACTTTTGGTGGTGTTTCAATAGATTGTATATGCAAAGGAAGTTCAAAGAGTACTATATTTTCATTTGCAGGGCTCAAGCGGTATATTAAACTTATGTTAAGCCTAGTACAATTCTTCTTTTAAAGTAAATCCGAGGAAATCTCAAGAGTCATAACTTTGGACAGGTTTTTGAATATCAGCAGTAGGCATAGTTTCAAGTAAAGATTTAAGATCAAAAACAGACTCCTTTTGTTTTGAAAAAGAAAAAATGAGCTAAAGATAGTTAAAGAAGGGCAAAAAAGACTCACAATTTTTTTCTTCCATAAGTGAAATCCTCCCAAAAGATAAGATTTTGTGAAGTATGGTTTGTCTACAACAAAGTTTGCATCAACAAATATATAAAATATCCTAGGAAGATAATAACACTTGCACCTATTTTGTGTAGAAGAATAGCTACGAAATACACACTTCATAGCCTAAGGGTCTAATTTATCGCAATTTTGACCATGAATATATACAAAATAAGTGCATATAAAGCCATTAGAGTTTTTGGCATGTAAATAGATTTTAATATGACATTTCAAAAGAGATGTATATTACAATGCCCGTTAGGGTGGTCTATTTATCATGTGTGTGACATTAAGGACAACTTCTTCCCAATAAGATGGAGGAACACTCCTTAGAATAATAATGTTTGGGTATATTACACGGTCATTTTTTCTTTCAACAACACAGTTTTGGTGTAGTATATTTATGTTGGATGATTCGTGAATAATGTCTTCCTTTTGTAAGTAGGAAGTCAATGATTGATTAAAATAAACTTTTATATTTTTTTGCCAAGAGTTTTTAATTTTTACTAAACTATTTTTGAATCATGGAGTGGAATTTAGGAATAATGTTGCTAAGTTAGGATTTTTATTTAATCAAGACTATCTATGTAACCCTAGTACTATCATCAATTAAAGAGAAAATACCAAGCTCCTAAAATATTTACGATGATGTATGGTCCCCATATACCACCACGGATTAATTAAAAAGGATGAGAATTTATTTTATTACTAATGGGAAAGGGCGCATGAGTTTACATTATTTAAAAAACTAAGAAAGATGGGTGACCAAGACAAAAAAGATGAAGCCAAATGGAATCCTCATTTGAAGAACTTAGAAATGGTAAAGACAAGTTACTCATGACTTTATTTGAAGCATTCAATATTTCAAGATAGTAGAGCATATCTCTTTCCTTAGCATGTTCAATCTTCCTCCCCAAATATTGTCCTAAAAAACCAGAAAAGAATGATAGAAAGAAAACATTTAAGATCTTCCATGAATTTTTTAATTGAAAAAAGATTTGCTAACAACATTAGTACATGAAGAATATTCTTAAGGATAAGAGAGGGTGTCCTCAGATATCTCCTAGTGATGAGGGCATCCGACCGTGTTTATCAGAGGAGCCAAAGATTAACGGCCATGATTGTACCATTTTATTTTAAGTTATTATTTGTATTTTCATCTATTTATGCTTTTTTTTTTACCCTCACTTGAGGGACTAGGCCTATGTGACCCCAGTGGACACTTTTGTCATTTGTCTTACCATTGTATTTTGGCTATTTATAGCCCCCTCCTCTTCTTTTTGAGGGGATGGATGATTATTAAAAGAAAATTATGCACTTTGTTCTTAAGAGCATTGAGAGTTCTTATGAGAGTTGAAGTTTCTAGGTAAGGGAAACGTACAATTCACCATCCGCAAGAAGCATCTAGGATCGTGGCTTGAAATCCCTAGGTGAGGGCAAAGTATTACCCATCAGTCACAGGAAGCATCCAGGCTTGTGGTTTATCTTCTCCACCGACTCCCTCTCCTCCTCCCCTAGCTGCCACCTTCATCTCGCTCTGATACCATTCCTCTTCCCTCAGTCCTTCCCCACCTCTCGGCCCAAACACCTCCACCAAGCTGCCGACCTTCACTTTCCCTAACCTTTGGCCGAACCCTTCCCCCACCCAACCATCGGCTCCACTACCTTCCTAGCTGCCGGCCACCATCCCTCCTTCCCTTTGGCTCCAAAATTTCAAAATCAAGCATATATTATTTTCCTAATTTAAATTCTTGTAAATTTGGAAAGTCAAAAGATTTCAAATTTAAATAATTTTGAATTTGAAATCTCTTTCCTAAAAGAAAGGAGATATGTTAGGAAAGCTCCTCCAATCATGCTACTTGAAATTCAAATAGATAATTATCATGATTTCTTTTCCTAATTAATGTTTCAAGATTGGCAAGTCATTAAACACCCCACCTCTCCTCTTTGATTTCAAATTTTAAATTTCAAACGCATAGTCACTACTTTCCATAGGAAGATTTTCAAATCAGATTTTAATTTATTCAAAATATGAAATCCCTTTCCTAAAATAACATGAGTTATATTAGGAAACCTCCCCCAATCATGTCAATTTGAATTTAATGGGATATTGACCTTAATTTCCCCTGCCATAATTGATAACATAGGATTGACAAGTCATAAAACACTCCAATCAAGTCCTCATCAAAGGGGTCGGCCCCTCCCTCTCTCCCCTTTCTCCTTTTGTACCTCGCAATTAAGTCTCACAATCAATTACTCCAAATTAACTTCATATTTGAGATTTGATTTAATTCCTATTTCCTTAATTGAGAAATCATAATTGGCAACTATATTAAATCAATAATCCCACCCAATCATGGCTAGCTTGGTTCTATATCATTTTGGTATCAGAGTATGGTTGCATTCCCGGGATACGTACTCGACAGAGTCGAGCTCTTTTTCAGCCCACGAGAATGATGAGGACATCCGACTGTGAAAGTTTATCAAAAAAGGAGTTGAAGATCGACGACCATGATTGTACCATTTTATTTTGAGTTATTATTTGTATTTTCATTTATTTATGCATTTTTTTCATTTTTACCCTCACTTGAGAGAGTAAGCCTATGTGACCTCGGGAAGCACTTTTTTCATTTATCTTATTACTATATTTTGGCTATTTATAACCGAGGCCTCCTCTTCCTTTTGAGAGGATGGATGATTATTAAAAGAAAATTCTGCATTTTATTCTTAAGACCATTGAGAGTTTTTATGAGAGTTAAAGTCCCTAGGTGAGAATAACGTACTACCCACCAGCCGCAGCAAGCATCCTAGCTTGTAGTTTGAATTCCCTAGGTGACGGAAAAGTATTACCCATCAGCCGCATGAAGCATTCGGACTCGTGATTTATCTTGTCCACCGACTCCCTCTCCTCCTTCTCCCCTAGCCGCCATTTTCATTTCACTCTGATACCATTCCTCTTTCCTCAGTCCTTCCCCACCTCTCGGCCCAACCACTTCCACCAAGCCGTCGGTCTCCACTTTTCTCAACCTTTGGCAGAACCCTTCCCCCACCCAACCACCAGGCCACCACCCCCCTCCCCTCCCCTTTAGCTCCAAAATTTTAAAACCAAACATTCATTACTTTCCTAATTTAAATTCTTGAAAATTTGGAAAGTCAAAAGATTTCAAATTTAAATAATTTTGAATTTGAAATCTCTTTCTTAAAAGAAAAAAATTATGTTAGGAAAGCTCCTCCAATCATTATACTTGAAATTCAAATAGATAATTACCATGATTTCTTTTTCTAATTAATATTCCAAGATTGGCAAGTCATTAAACAACCCACCTCTCCCCTTTGATTTCAAATTTTAAATTTCAAACGCATGATTAAATTCAAATAGATTTTAATGTATTCAAAATCTGAAATCCCTTTCCTAAACTAACATGAGCTATATTAGGAAACCTCCTCCAATCATGCCAGTTTGAATTTAAAGGGAGATTTGCTTTAATTTCTCCTCCCATAATTGATAATCTAGGATTGGCAAGTCATAAAACACTCCAATCAAGTCCCCTTCAAAGGGGTCGGCCCCTCCCTCTCTCTCTTTCCCATTTTGCTCCTCCCAATTAAATCTCTCAATCAATTACTACAAATTAACTTCAAATTTGAGATTTAATTTCATTCATATTTCCTTAATTGAGAGATCATAATTTGTAACTCCATTAAATAAATAATCCCACCCCAATCATGGCTAGCTTGGTTCTACATCACCTAACCCTTCAACTATAGGAAGAGAACATTTGCTAGAATGATCTTTCTACCATTTAAAGTATTGTGAAGTATGAACAATGTAATTTGTAGCTCCTAAGTAAATGACCCAATAGTTAGCCACATACTTTTCTAAGACATGTAACATAAAAAAAAGTGAAGACATTCCAAAGGTGTCAATGAACAGATAATAGAAGGTTCATTAAGGGATTTTATTATGCGAGTTTTTTTTTTTTTTCTCTCCTTATTTAGTCATCCTTTTCTCATTCTCAACCTGGTGGTTGACTATTCAACTTCTAGCAATTCACCTTTATAAGTCTTAAGTTCTTGTCGATGTACCATAGATTGTCCTTGTTGACCTTCCATTGATTGCCTTTGGTGCCACTTTCAGAGAATTTGGATAAGTCTACTCTTTTTTTCTTGCCACTAGGGTTTGATCCTATACTTACTAAGGTTGAATCTTACGAGTTCTACCAACCAATAATTATGCATTTTCTACTTTCTTCTATTAGAATTATAGAGGTCACCTCTACTAAAGGTGTTTCTCTCATCCAAGAATCTGAACCCAAGTTTGATCAAATTCAAGATTAAGTCCAACTAAGAATTCATGTAATTAATTCATTTCAATGAAATTTTCAAAATGGTACCATCCCATAGGCACTTCATCTCAAATACTCAATAGTAACCCATCTATTGCCACAAATTTTTCAATAAATTAGCATATTTTATCATTGATTTTCCTCTCATTACTTTGATTTCACTCAATTGAACAGCATTATGAGTTTTTGAATAAGTGCAGCCAGTTAAGTCTAAAATCTCCTTAGCAATAATAGTCAAGAACATGCAGGTAGCACTAATTGATGGATCTATTGAGTCCTATAGCTAAGACATTTCATTATTAATATTGAATCCATTATGTGGAAGTATCATACGAATTTTGCATGAGTAGCAGTCTATTATCTAGGAACACAAGTTTTCCATAACATCCCAAAATTTTCTAAATCAAAATTGAAATTAAAATGCCCTTGATCTCAGGTTAAAATCTTAAATTTCCTTTATAGGTACCGAGCATTTAATTTTTCTAATTTTCTAAGCCTTAGCTCAAGAAGCATTGAGTGTGACTTCACTGCATGTGAGAGTCAATTCCATGGCTTCACATTGTTTCCTAGGGTCACGCTTCTATGCATATGACATATTTCTTCATTATGATTCTACATTTTGAGAGAGTGGGATTTTTATTAAAATTTGATTATTGTTCCCCATCTTTCATTTATGCAGAATGAATTCCCAAAGTATTCCCCTTACTATTCAACTTGGGGAATGGATCTCACGTCCATTTCTCGAATGCTATTGTGAATATTACAGCAACTAGAACATCATCCTATTTAATTTTCAAACCAGTTTCCTTCTCTATGCCCATCACACAAGGGGAGGCTATTTGTAGTCAAGACACAATGTGCAATATTTCATATAAGGATTGCACCTCAACTCAGTGAAACTCCCTATCACTGCATTCCCATCCCAAGTTATGGAAATACGCTGAATGTGGTCGATCCAAATGAGTTAAGGCACTAGCTCAGAAAGACTCCTATTTCTACTACTGCCACTAAAATTTCACACAAATGGAAATGACTTACCGTGGCTATTTCTCATGCTGCAAAAAGAGTGGCCTCTTCTCTTCTCAGAAGACTATCATGATACTAACCAAGTCCTCCATGCTTCCCACTATGTCTTTTACACCAGGTAGGCACAAAACTAAGGCTATTTCAGCTGGAAAGAGACTGCCCATAAGGTAGGTTTGAAAGGACAAGACAAAAACTGCAAGTTCAATAACCACAATACAATCACCTAAATTAGTCATGGACTCTAAAATCGGAGGAGGTTGTCCTCATTGAAAAAAAAGTTCAAAATCTAAAGATAAGTACAACAACCCAACAGCATAATTACAAAACCTTTTTTGTGAAATGACTAAGTCCATGCCCTGAGAGCATTAGAATAGAGAGCCAAAACTTTCATCTTTTAAAGCATAGAAATTTCTCAAAGCTCTGAAAGACAAGGGAATAGTGAAATAGAAGGCCAATTGTTGTGGGCACTAAGGAAGCAAAGTTTAAGAAGAAGCTATCTACTGTAATAATTTACAAGGCCGAATCTCCACTTGGGACCCATGCCAAGGGATCCATCATCATAAGGCCTCGACAAAAGATGAAGCAAGAATGGATGTCAATGCCTTGTAGAAAGGGTGTCGTTGTTGAAGCTTAGGGTGTGACATTTGGGTGCCATCCACAGAGATCCACTCATAGAGTATGGGTCCCAACGAAAAATGATCTTTCAAATAGCAAATAACGTGGTTGACAATCTTGAGAGTTCTTCCATCTTCAAAAAGTAGGATTGATCTCTTTCCAGGGGTTCCCACTATGATGCTTTTGGATCCATGAGTGTTTATAACACCAGAACCTTACTAATCATATTAGTCAAAAAAATGAAAAATTAAAGGAAGAAAGAATTTGAAGTTAGATACAGTGAGATTTCGCTAGTTTATGAGAAAGTACAAGACTTTGTAAAAGTTTAGAATGTGTCAGGCTCAACATCTAATCTCCTATTAAGAGATTCATGTCAAGGCACGAATAAATAATAAAAACTACATTTGAGAAATACAAATAAAATTATATAATAAGTCTTACAAATGCTTTTAGTAAAATAAATCTAACTAGCATGTAGCTAAGCAATACATCAAGAGTACATATTGGCTTCTAAGTGAAGGGCAAGTCCATTTAAAATCCCTGGCTGACTTCACCATGACTTACCTAGCTCTGGCAAATTACCAAAATGCGTTGGCAAGTGACCTAAGATGCTTAACCAAATTTGCTAGGCAATTTGAGCAAAGAGCTATGGTGTTTGGATGAGTAGCCTTGAAAAATTGGATTGACTTTACCCTAGTTGGTCATAGGGCCCAATACACCTTAATTGATACTTATGATCGACTTGAACTCAAGAGGAAAAATCAATTATTCTCTTAGGAGCAGTTTGGTTGCCTGAAAAAATAAATATAGTGTATAAGAAATGCAGTGTAAAAGGAATACTTGTGAGTTGTTTGGATGATTGTAAAAGTAATGCATGTATATATATATATATAAGTAAAATAAATACAATGCAAAGTGCAAAAAGGTAGTCGTCGGTGGCTGACATTAGCGGCGATGTGGCCAGTGGCAGTGGTGGGCGATGGTGGGTGACCAACGGTGACGGACGGCTACAAATGGCTGGTGGTAGTGGTCGGCGGCTATGGGTGGTCTGTGGTGGTCAGCAGTCGACACGTGGCGGCGCCGAGTTGCGGCAATTGCAATGAATTTATAGTGAATTTGGAATTCGTCCAAATTAGAGGAATTCCATATAAACTAAAAATAAACTAGTTGTTGTATTACAAATACAACAAAATTTTACACTTGAGTTTATTTTACTTCAAACCAAACATTAATATTTTCAAAGCCCTGCATTTGGAATATTTTACACTCTCTTTGCAAGCAACCAAGCAGCCCCTTAGTGACTTCATAGAGTTGATCCTTCTAACACAGTCAACTAAACTTAAATCTAAACTAGGTGATATTTGGAAGCATAAATATGAAATTCATGCTCACATCAAATCCATGCAGCTACACCTCTAGCTCCCACAAGTATACACTTTTAATTTATGATCCACCAAAACGAAATCAATTTCATTTGCTTAAGTCACCCTTTCCTTTCTCTAACTTCGAGAGATACAACATTTCTCTCAAATCAATAAATTGGAAGTCAATACAAGGCCCTTTCTCAAGCTATCAAGGAAAACCCCCAGCTTCCGTAACATAAGAAAAAGTCAAACGATATATGCAGATAATTGCAAAAGAATGAAGAAAACTCACGCCGTAGCAACAGTAGAAACCCACTGCAGAGTGCCATGGTTAAGAGCAGCCTTAGTATAGCAGGTGTTACCCCGGCAATGCTTCTGTCTCCTGAAGACACTTGTCTGCCACCCAAATCTGCAATGTTGTGCATACAATAATCCATCAAATAATGTATTTCTTTAAGAAAATCGTTCACCCCATAGATTGCTGTATATAGCAATGTATAGAAAAGGAGGATTGAAAATGTAGACTCTGCACCGGTTTAGGCACCCAAACCCTCCTATTTATGGATTACCTAAGAGAAGATGTATCGCCGCTGAAGTGCTTGCTCGTGCAAAGGGAGCGAGCGGTAGATCTATAGGCGTTATTGGGAAGAAGAACCGAAGCGTTGAAGTGAGATTGGAAAAGCGCCATCGTTTTTTGTTCCCTCTTCTACAGAGTAGAAGAAAATTGTAGCTTAGCAGTTCTTAAGTGCGTGTGTAAGAGAGAGAGAGAGAGAGCGCGATCCAAATTGTATTTGGACGCGTGTTTTTGGCCAGGCTCGTTATATTCATTATATAATATATGATGATAAGCTCTGAAACAAAAATTGTGGGATAAAAGTAGATGCTGTTGAATTATTTCTGATATTTAATTTTTTATATTTATTTATATAATATTTTAATATTTAAATTATTAAAAATATTATTAATATAAATTTATTTAGAATAAACTAAATTTTTAATATACTTTAATATCATTTAGATAAACACGGTTGTTGATAGGTCTCAACTCTCAAGTCCTGGATGAAAAAAGTAGAGGATTGCGTTAGGTTGTCGACAGTCACCTTAAAATTTGTCGAATAATCATAACATGAATCTTTTAAAAAATTATGTTAATGCTAGGGCGTCCCCTGGAAGCGACATGTTGTATGGCTTGAATATAGAGACAAGTGTGCAAGAGCCGCTACACCGGCGCCCAGGTGCAGTGTTAAATAGGCAAGGGTTCCCACACTAAGGATAGATGTGGGCAAAGAAGCTAGTCCATGAAACTAAAATTAGGATAATAACATGGAATATTGGCTCCCTTACAAAAAAATTAATGGAATTTATATATATTATGATCAATATGAAGATAAATATTCTGTGCATTCAGGAAACTAAATTGGTTTGAGAGAATGCTAAGGAATTTGATAGTTTGTGTTATAAACTATGGTATTCGGGTATGAGTCATACTAGAAATGGTGTATGTGTGGTTATAAATAAAAGTTTAAATGATAATGTTAAAAAAATTAACAGAATTGGAGATAGAATTATAGCTTTAAAGGTTGTTGTTGATACTAAGATTGTTAATATTATAAGTGCTTATGCTCCTCAAATAGGTTTGGATATGGATTTAAAATAAAAATTTTAGAATGACTTAGACAAATTAATACAAAAGATAAAAATTGAAGAAAGAGATTTTATTGGAGGAGATTAAAATGAACATGTTGGTAGAGATGTAGATTATTTTAAAAGCATTCGTGGTGGTCATAGGTTTGGAACGACAAAAAAAAGATGGTAAGGTCATATTAGATTTTTCTTTAGCTTATGATTTCTTAATAGCTAATATTTTGTTTAAGAAAAGATATGAGTATCTTATCACTTATAAAAAAGGATATAGTAAAGCGTAGATTGATTATTTTCTTATAAGAAAATTAGATCGTTTAGATTGTAAAAATTACAAAGTTATTCAGAGTGAAAATTTATGTACTTAACATCGATTATTAGTTTTAGACTTTAAGTTAAAGAGATAGAAAATAAATAAAATGAAACGATTTTCTAGGATTAGATGAGGCATTTAAAAAATATTAACAATAGTATTTTTTAGAATAAGATTTTAGATCTTAAGATTTTGTCTCGACATGAGGATGTTAATATTATGTGGAAAAAAAGTGGCTAGTGATATTAAGAATATTGTAAAAGAAATGTCCTTGGAGTTTCGAAGCGAAAAACTCCTAATAATAAAAATAGTTGGTGGTGGAATTTAAATGTGCAAAAAAAGATAAAAAAATAAGAAGATTTATTATAAAAATTGATTTATATATAAAAATTTTGATAATTGGAAAAACTATAAAGAAGCTCGTAAGAAATTTAAGAAAAGCTATTTACGATGTAAAGACCTTAGCTTTTAATGATATATATAATAGATTAGATACTAAGGAGGGAGAAAGATATATGTATAAGTTAGCCAAACAAAGAGATAGGAGAAGTAAGGAATTAGTTAAAGTGAAGTGTATTAAGGATGAAGATCAAAAAGTATTTTTCTTAAAAGATGATAACAAAGGTGGATGAGATATTTTGCTAAACTTTTTAATCAAGAATGTGAAAATACGATTGAATTTAGTGACTTTAGCATCTTAAATGAAAATAAAGATTTTTGTTTTATCGATGTATTAATAAAAACCGAAATTAGAGAAGCTTTAAAGAAAATGAAGTGTGGAAAAGCTATTAGACATTTTGATATTCCAATAGAGATGTGGAAATGCTTAGGAGATGAAGGAATTTCTTGGCTTACTAAACTTTTTAATATTGTTTTGAAAACTAAAAAGATGACAAATCAGTGGAGAATGAGTACATTAATTCCTATTTTTAATAATAAAGGTGATGCACAAGAGTGTGCGAATTATAGGGGAATTAAGTTAATGTGCCATACTTTAAAACTATGGGAGCAAGTTTTGGAGCGTAGGTTGCAGTGTGATACTAACGTTTCTCAAAATCAATTTGGATTCATGCGGGTAGATCTACTATGGAAGTCATATATTTACTGAGATTTGATAGAGAAATATAAAGAGCATAAGGAGGATCTACATATGATATTTATTGATTTAGAGAAAACATATGATAAAGTTCCAAGAGAAGTGCTATGGAGAGTTCTTGAAAATAAATGAGCTAATAACGCTTATATTCAAATCATTAAAGATATGTATGCAAGAGCTATTACTTATGTTCAAACGCAAGGTGGTTTGACTAAGTATTTTCCTATTTTGGTTGGATTACTTCAAGGATCAGCCTTAAGTCCATATCTTTTTTGCTTTAGTCATGGATGTTCTCATTAGACATTTGTAAGAGGATGTACCTTCGTATATGCTTTTTTTTATGATATTCTTCTTGTTGATAAGACTAGAGAGGGACTTGAATGTAAACTTAAATTATGGAGTTCAATCTTAGAGTCTAAAGTTTTTCGCTTGAGTAGATCTAAAACTGAATATATGGAGTGTAGTTTTAGTAGCAATAGACCTAGTGAGGGGATTGTGACTTTGGGTGATCAAGTTATTAATAAGAGTAACACTTTTTGCATATCTTGATCTATAATTCAGGAGTGATGGTGAAATAGATGAGGCATATTATCTGCTTAATTCAACAATTCGTTGGTTGAGAGTGGAGGATTGCCATCGGGCTTTGATTATGCAATAGACAAAGTTCCCCTTCAAAACTAAGGGAAAATTCTATAAGGTGTGTGAACCTGCCAATGTTTTATGAGTGTCAAATGTTGGTCATTAAAAGAGAAGCATAATACTAAGTACGTGTTGCAGAGATGAGGATGCTTAGGTGGATTGAGTGGCTTTACCTGAGATTAGGAACGAAATGACATATACGCTAAAAAGAGGGTTTGGAGTAGCTACTAGTGGACAATTAAGATTAGAGAGAAGCGCCTTAAATGTTTGAGTCATTATTAAACGGAGGCCTTCTGATGACCTTGGTTTAGAATAAGTTGAGGTATTATATTGATTTCATGTTAGAAGGTAGAGGTAGACCTAATAAGACTTGGTTAGAAATATATTTAGAAATGATAAATTTTCTATTTATTTTAAATGAGAAATTCATTTTAACAGATACAATGGCGCGAAAAGGATTATGTAGCCGACCCAAATAGTAGGATAAAGGCTTGATGTTGTTTATATCAAATTATATATATATATATATAATATAATATTATATATATATTATTATTAATTTTAAAGTGTGTGAACCACATTTATCTAAAAAAATTATTGATTCACTTAAAACAAATGCCTGTGTTGTATGAACATTTTATGAACTTTTTTACTTAAAACATTTGTCATTGTAATACTAATAGAACAACATGAAGTTAGTAATATTGAATTACTCATTACTAAGTTACTTTGGGATAATCCATCTGTGTCAATAAATAACTTGACTTATTTACTCAAAAATAAAAAAATTCGAATTTGGATTGATTTGTTTAAAAAATTGGTTGAATTTTGGTTTAGAATTCCGACTTTTTTTAAATGGGTTGAATTTGGTTAACTCATGAACTTGCCTTTGACTTGAAAATGACTAGTTTAATTTAAAAAAAAAAATTACATGTGGGTATAATATTCTTATTTTTTATCAAATAACATAAACTTTATAGTTGATAAGTTGTAAATTCTTTATTTTTTACCAAAACAAGTTAACGAGTCAAATTTAGGTCATTCGGGTTATTAGTGAGTCAGTTTAGGTCCATCTGTTTTATCAGTTTATGAAACAAGTCAAGTTTGATTTAATTGTATTAAGGTCATATTAATTTTAGGTCAAACCCGTACCTGACTCGTCAACCCATTTTGACATCCTTAGGATAATCAAGATCGCTTCTAATATTTTATTTCAAGATAAGATTTAAAATTAAATTTTTATTTAGATTCCATCACATCCTAAAATATTGAATTTTATTAGTTTTGATAGATTTACTATTTTGAGAAAATCTTAAAGAGATATTTTTTGTAAAATTTTGATCATCATAAGAATTATAGTAAATTTTCACTCAAATTCCTATCATATGATTCAAAACTTTAATTTTCTGTCAAAATAAAAATTATTAACCAATAATGAATCAGTTCAACTCAAAAAATATCAAATCTTAAAATTATGCTTTAAACCATTCTAATTTTGAAGTATTTTTCAAGAAATTAATTCTGACCGAAATTCAAAATTTGTTCTAATGGGAAAAAATGTGAATTTGGTCTAAGTGGGAGGATTGTGATTTGTGCAATGTAGGGGTGTAAACAAGTCGAGTCGAGCTCGAGTCAGGGGGAATTCAAACCGAGCTAGACTGCAAAATATTGAGCTCGAGCTTAACTTGGCAAGGGAAAATGAGATCATCGAGCCACATTTCGATCCTGTTAACGAGCCTCGTGCCTGCGTCGTCGTCCACATTCATCATTTGTCAGCGTTCGCGTCTGCATCGTCTGAACAAGCCCCGGGCTAGTGTTAGCGCATGTGTCGTCCTCATTTGTGAGAGTGCGTGCATCGTCCGTCGTGCCAACATCGTTCTCTTGCCTTATCTGTCGTGCTAATATCGTTCACTACAGGAAATTCAAATATTACTGGCAATTTTTTTCGGCGATTAACCTGGTATTTACCGGCGGTTAAAAAAAACCGGCAGCTTTTCGGCTGTTCCCAAGCCGTCGGAAAAAATGGTAACAGTTGTAGGTCGGTATTAACCAGCAGCCAAACCGCCAGCTAAACCGTCGTTATTACCGGCGGCTAGACAACCGTGGTCTAGG